GCGCCCGCGATCGAGAAGGATATCTTTCGCCGAGCAAACTAATTTACGAGGAATTATTGGCTCTCGGATTTTCCCTTGCTTTCCCGTTCTGATTTCAGCGACTCACGCGTCTCGTCCTGTCGGAAACAGGTACGGCGTGTCTCTACTCGAATTCTGACGTGTCCTCCCCGCGCACTTTACGCGAAACGCGGATCTAATCCATATAGAAAATTTTTTGCGATCTAATTGCGAGCCAGTCTGATTGCTTTAAATTATGTTATGACTTCTGATCCCGTATTGAAATTTCCTCCAAACGTTATCAAGTACAGCATAAATTTCAATAAGATTATTCAAGTTTGTTTCAAATAGGCGTATCGTTTTGTTCTCTTTTAGATTTATGTTAAACAAAATATTTGGAACGTTTTTAGTATTAAAGGTATATTTTATAAATACATAAAAAGTGTAAATACTCAAACTCATATTTTGTTCAGCCTTTTTTTGAAATAAAATTAATTCAGTACATTAAAATAATTAATTAAATAATACAATAATAAATTAAATAAATAAATTAAGTAAATTATAAATGTCTTGAATAAAACATTATATATTATATTTTTATTTTTATAACCTTAACATCACAATAAATATCCAAATATTCATATTATAATTATTTGTAATTACTTTGTAATGTCAGGGTCGTATAAAATATTCAGACTATTCTATATGATCAATTCATACATTCAGATATTTTATTCAATTTAAATACAAAATAGAAACCGATACAAAAATTAGGAAAACGTTGAACAGAGCAAATGGAATCTATTTAGGTTTTCCACTTACAATCGTAACTTTATTTACTTGAGAAATTAGAATAGATCCCAATTAGATCCCAGGAAATTTTCTGTAGTCAACTTGGGATTAGATTCGCATAATCAACTTGGGATTATAGAATGAGATTCCCAATTAGTATTGCAAAATATTTGGGACAAGTTTGGATGATCTAATTAGAACCTATGGAATATTTTGAAATGTTTGGAAAATTTCCATAGAAGTTAATATCTCAAAATGCGATTCTGAAACGAAAAGTGGAGAAACTAAAGTTTTCCCTCAATATTCTTTCTGGTTTTTATTTTTATTTTAGAATTGAACCAAACATACGTTGACTTTCTAAGTAATTTCATTATTCGATGAAATGTTTTAAAAATATCTGATTTTTTAAATTTTATTGAGTGCGATATGAGTTTCCAGAGTATTTTTGTTTCAATTCTAGGGAAAGAATTCATGTCTGGAACAAGAAGGGGATTTCTCAACTGGTAGTGGGGTGACCAGTTTCGAGACAAATCCGGGCATTCTAATCGGAATCTATGCTGTACCTGGGAAAATGTTGGGAAACTTCTATGCGAGTTCTCGCGTTTTCAATTTTCGAGCTCGTCTTTGGAGAACAAAGCGTACCCGACTTGAAGTAAGGAACGAGGGAAATCTCTCCCGCGGAGAGATTTATATTTCCACACACACGCACATACACACACGTTCTTCCTTCCGAATTTGAGGACTTGCCAAGACCATACACACACATACACACAGCGAGCGGAATATTCTCCCGATATATCCTACACGTCATGTCATCGCGGAAACTTATCGCGCAGTAAAATTAAGAGCGCACGGAAATATGTGAAATATGCAAGAAGTAACGTGTACGCACACTTCGACGAGAGAGAAATCGCGGGCCGTTTTGGCCCGGGTTACGAGTTTGCGCGCGCCATTCGTTAAGAAATCTATCTCGCGACGTTAGAATCTACATGCAAGACGCGCGCGCGCGCGCGGCGAATTTCTTCTCGGAATTAATCGCTCCAGTCTGATAACTTAGTTTGGGCGAGCTATTTTTTTCGATGCCTCTCGTCGGGGCTCGTTAAGGAACGCGCACTCAGTGCTGGCGTTTACTTTTCGTCCCCAGTCCGTGGCCAATTACCAAGTTCCGCCGGTCCGGTAATCATTGTTATAATTCGCATTTATCGCCGCTATTTATACCCGTCAAAAGTTACCGCGCGTCAGGAGCCGGCGCGGGTGCGTGAAGGATAACTAATTAGTTACGGAAGACTCGCTTTAACGCGAGGGATCGTTAATCATCTTCTCCGCGTCGCGCGCTCGTCAAGGACGGCAAATGCTGTTCTTCTCTCCTCTGCCTTTATTCCTCGCGCTTTTCTTATGTTTCCGCCCGTCCGCGCTGCTTCCCCGCTCTTCCTCTCTCTCTCCTTCTCTATCTATCTATCTATCTATCTATCTATCTATCTATCTATCTATCTCTCTCTCTCTCTCTCATTACACCGAGACTAATTTACTTTCACGGCACGGTGGTAATAACCCGGCTTGCGTGCACGTGTATCCTCTCCCTTCCGTGCTTCCGGTCACCCTCTTCAGTTAACCGGCTGACTGGCGAGTTACGCTAATAGTATTAAACGCCTACGTATATTCGGAAGTGAACGCTGTCAAGGTCGAGGTAGCTCGGGTCGAGCCCTTTTCAGGCGGTTCTTTGGCAGATTCGTTTCGACCGACAGTACGCGCCAGCGAGTGCAAAGGGGAAAGAGAGACGCTCTCTCGTGGGGTGATAAATCAATATATCAGCTAATAAAAAAGGAACATGGCTCTGCTGATGTGCAATCGATAACGAAGGGGAAAGGTATGCGAGATAGGAGCATATACACGGGCATTGTGCAATACAGAAGGATATTGTAATACAGTATTATTTCTGAATTATTTGCACTAAGAGAAGAAAATATCCAACAAATAACAGATCTGTTCGGCAAATACCAACGTCACGTTTATCGGCAAAAATATATACGCGCGTATATATATATGTTTCTGCACTAAAATTTTTTTTTAATGAGAAAAAATATATTTTGTTCAAACGTTAGCTTTTCATGTCAATATACGTATTTTTACATTGGGAACAATTTTTGTCTCAAATGAGAATGTATACATTTTGTTAAAACAGTAGTTTTTCGTGAAAGCAAATGTTTATTCTATTTGGATTGAAGAATTTAGATTTAACTAGACATTATTGGTACCCAGCGTGAATGAATGTTGTTTATTTTTTAGATATTTTTCTAGTGAGCTTACACTGTGATCGTTATTTATTTCAAATCTAGTGTTTGTTTTAACTCGAACTTTGTCGAATCGTCGATGATTGCATTGAATAAGATGAGTCATTTTACGGACGCAGAGACAGACAATTATGGGAAAGTAATGGGCAATGATGGCGAATGCCTTGCACGTGCCGTTTCATTATTATTAATGTAATTCGCTAGTCACTTTTGGATAGTGCTACTCTTCCTCTTCATTCAAGATCTCCATTTTCTACTAAAAATACGTTACAGCTTTCCGATATTTGTAATTTCCTTTTTCTCGCAAATTACGGAGGAGAGCGCCTGGCAGTTCTCAAAGTGATCCGGAAATCGCACAGAGGCTTGATAGAAGAAACATGACTGAAGAGTTCTACCAACTTTTTTGCGAGCTCCTCACGCAACAACAGATCCGACTCTCTCGCGATCGATGTTACAAGCCGTTATTTAGTGGAACGTCTCTCGATTTACATAGCGGGCGAGGTGACGAGAGCCTCGCCGCAAAATCGAACGTGTGTCGCGCTCGAAATCAAACCCAACGGGACATTATGAGAGTTACGAGCGAAGTGGGTTTTTGCGGAGCGACAAAAATCGCCCAGCCAGCCACGTGCTCGCGCTCGAGCGGAGTCTGTTTTTATTTTACGCGTGTACTATGCAAATACGGCGTGCGCGCGCTCGGACTTCCACGTTCGCGCATCGTCCCGCCGTCTCTAATGAAATTGGCGAGAAGGTCCGAGAGTAGGGTGACGGGAACACCGGTGCCCGGCGCCAATAAAGTTAGGCTAGAATGCGGGGAAGTTGAGCGGTTATGTGTCCAGCCGAGTAGCGTGTTCTATCAGCGGCGGGCCCGAAAGCGCGTCGTAGCTTCGGGGAAATGCTGATTCATATGCGCGCGCGCTCGCGCGTGCATTTAAATTCGGCTTTTTTCGACTGGAATTATTATCCGAATTGCATGCAATTAGTCCGGCTAATTGCGATTAAAACCAGGCTCCTCCTCGTTTTTCCGACAGAGAGCGCGTCTCCGAAAAAGCGCCGCGAGTTAAACCAAGTGACGCACTCGCGGAGCTGCGAATCCTCTTATTAGCTCCCGTATTATCCCCCGAAAATGAGCTTTTTTTCTAGCATCAAGCGGATTTGGAGGCGGCGAAATGAATTTGCCGCTTCGTGCCTCCTCCTTTTTTTGAAAGAATGACACGCGCACGTCGATCTCACGTTAAACGTGAGTTTTCAACGTTATCCCTCAAAATTAGCTTAAGGGGGGAAATGCTTTTCGCGGGTCAAAACAATTCGATCTTTTTATTGCACGTTTTGAACATATATATTTTTAAGCATATTTCCCTAAATGTTTATGAAAAAGTTGAGAGAGCAAAAACTGACGAGAGCATAGCTGATTATCCGAAACGGTACGGCATGCGCTCAGTCTCCCAATGTTTCGAGAGCATAATAACCGAGCTGCTGTGAGAGATAAAAGAGAAGCTCAAACTTAGTTCCACGAGTTCCAGGAAATAATGTTATATGGACTTGGAATCGCTGATTAGAATAAAAATCACGTCAGTACACAAAATTTTACTTTATCATACACGCAAAACTTTAAACATGTTTTCCTCGGATACATACGGAACAATACTTTTGCAATTGGCTCACGACTTAAGCAAACTAGTCAGTCGATTGGTTTGCACTTATGGGTAATACACATCCCTCTTCAGTTCAAACTAGAGAAATTAGAATATGTTAATTTTTTCCTATCTTTTTAATGCAAAATTGTCAATTTTTTTTCGACGATCTTTCTGCCAAAATTCTTCTACTATTAAGAAAGAAATTGACAGAATGTTTTTTTTATTATTTTAATTCCAACGATAGCTACAGATCTGTGGATTAATAATCTTCGTTTTTCTGTTTCAGGTTCACGGAGTTCTGCGAAATCATAGTTGCCAATCACGCACACTCGGACTCTTTTCCGGAAATGCTCTATATCTTTCGTACTTCTGAATATGTTTACATAAGAAAATTATTATAAACAGTTTAGGCTTACGATATTATGTGTGCAAAACTACAAATAGATATCTCTTACAGTTCTTGTAAAAAAATTTATAAGAAAGATCTGTTTTTGATCCTCGAAAGGAAGAAAGCTCTTCCCACCCGACAAGACCGAAAATCGTACAATCGATGGGAGAGTGGACAAATTATCGAGTTATCGCGCTGAAGAGAGGACTTCGTCGTCCAAACGAAAATCTGGTACTTAAAATTACCGACTTAAAATTTGATTAAAACGGGATTAACCGAGTGTTTGGTAGTTGCAACCAGAATATTTAATCGCCCCTTGCATGTCGTGCTCTCTCACCAATACATCCTACTTGACACAAGCGAAAAACGCGGTGACAGAAAAATCGTATGTAACCGAATACATATTTTACTTCCAAATACGAGAGCAATTCTTTCGCGGCACGCGCGCTGCAAAACGCGAGCTTCAATTCGCTCGTGTCGCAAGCAGCGGGGCATTCAGGCGCGATCACACCGTGAAGAAAAAACCGGTGATATATCGGCCGCGCCTTCAGCGTCAGGTCGCACTCGTGGATAAACTAATATCCTACTGACCGTTATCTGTTAATTACGAGTGTTTCTTGCGCCGGCGGAGAATATCTCCGTTAAATTTGCGCCGCACGTAGTCGGCATACCTACCTACCTACCCACCTGCCTACCTACCTACATACATACGAGCCGAATATCAGCGGACACGTGTGCTCGAACGACTTGCGAGCGGCCAGCTCGCTTGCCAGCAGGACGATCCACGTATGTTAATATCTCTCTAATGTAGTCCGGCGTCGCTCACCCACTTTGTCGTGCTCGCGATCCACCGGGGATTTCGGATTCGGGGTGAGTTTCGAGCCGGGCGGCGTTTCCCGTTCGCCCGTCCCGCTCGGGGAGCCGAAAGGCTTAAATTATGCGACGTGCGCGCGTTAGTTACGCCAGGTCGCATCGGGGGAGTTATCGTTGGAAGCAATTAAACAATCGCCGCGAATTTACTGCCGGCTGGCGAGGCCCGGCGACGATGCCGTCGTCGGCGTCGTCGCTCCTGAAACTCGCGAACGCGCAAACGCTCGGGCGAGGCGCGGGCGACGGACCGGAAAGACGCGCAGCCCGGCAACCCGGCGGGTCCAGGGGGACGCTTTGTGCTACGGATATGGAATTACATGCACATATCGCCTCGTAATAGCGAAGGCTTTCCGGCGAAGAGCCTCGCCCGATGCGGCGCGCGATTGCGTTTCGCGTAAAAGCTTACTACGCTCGGCTATTGCGAAATTGATCGCGTGTTTCGTATGTAACGCGCAGCGACGAGAACGCTCGTCCGCGAGTGCTGTTGCAACGCGATTAAAGGTTCTCCTTCTTTTTGCTCTCTCACTTCATCTTCGTTGATTATTATTACCGCGCGGGGACGTCGCGCTGTTTTCTTCCCTTTCTACCCGATGGAAGGAAGATCGCCTCGCGATTCTCGCCGCGTATCGAGAAGTGCGAATATATTCGCTGCACGCGGAGATAAAAGTTCCATTGACTTAACCTGGCTACGAACGAGTCGGACGCGTTCCGGTCGGAGGAAACAGAGTTCCTGGTTCTTGCAATTGGATTTGCTTCATGAGAACCAGCAATTCCGCTTCCTTCAACCAAAACGCGTTTGAATAGACGCAGCAAACGCGTTTTGATTGCGGGAAACAAAGTTTCCGGTCCTTGCAGCAGAATTGGGTTCAGAAAGCAGTAGAAATGCTGTTTTCTTTGATCAAAAAGCGTTCGAGTGAACAAACCAAATGGAGGAAATTTCTAATTTTTACAGCTGAATTTTACTTATAAGAACCCGAAATTTTGTTTGCTTCGACTAAAACACATTTGAATCGACGAGCCAAATGCGTTTTGATCGCAGGAAACACAGTTTCTGGTTTTTACAACCAAATTTGGTTCAGAGTCAGAGATACTGTTTTTTTAACCAATATGCATTTGACAAACAAACTAAATGTATCTTGGTTGGAGGAAACGGAATTACTCTTTGATTCTTACAACTAAAGTTGGCTCATAGAAACCAGAAATTCTACTTATTCCAAGCAAAAAGTGTTTAGATGAACAGGCTAAGGCCGATATTCATAGTTCGATCTTATATTTAAGATTATCTTAAGTACTGCCTTAAGATGTCATGAACCAATCACAGAGCCGTATTCGCATCTTAAGACATTACTTAAGACGGTCTTGAAATAAAATTCGACTATGAATATACCGGCCTAAATATATTTCACTTGGAGGAAACAAAGTTTCTGGTTCTTACAATCGAATTTAGCTCATAAAAACCAGAAGTTTTGCTTCCTTTGAGTGAATAAACTGAATATGTTTTGCTTGGAGGAAACAGAGTTTTTGGTTCTTACAACCAAATTTGGTTTATAAGGATCAAAAATTCTCTGCTCTCTTCAAGCAAAACACGTTTGGTTCATCCAACTGTCATACTGACTCAGACGAACTTGTAAGCCTCCGTGTGCTTTAAAAAGGAAATCCCGATATATTTTCTTCCACCTCATCTTCGGAGCTCATCTGGTAACCCTAGGTGTAGCAGATTTCCGTTTTGACAACAAGATCCCTTTTCCCGCGTCACAAGCGTTCTCTTCGCGGCGAGGAGCTCGTTCTCGCGGGATAATGCGTTCCCGATACGTCTCGATGGCGCGCGTAGACTCGCCGTATTCCCGGCGCGATCTAGTTAAATCATGGTCTAACTTCCATTTAACTTGCGCGATAACGCGCGCTTCTCGCGACCTCGTCTCGCGCCGTTCAATCGCCGCCGATACCGGCCATGTTGTTCTCGGCCGCGTTAAATAAGACCGCGAGCAAGACATACCCTCTCCGTGCAGGCGAGATAGGCGTCGCGACGGGGGTGGTTCGCGAGCGTACGTGCCGGGGCTGCCGAGAGCGCCACGTGAACGGCTATTGTTTCCCGATAATACAGACGCGGGGTTCGGCACTGATAATCGCCACTCGCCAAAAGTGTATGGCCGTGAGCTTTTACCGCGCGAGCGTTTACCGTTCCCCCGTGAGTGTTTAGCGCGCTACGTAAAATCTGAAAACGCGGCGGCCGCGTGCGCTCGCGAGTCATCGACGTTCTTTCCCCGCTCTCTCTTTTTTCTCTCTTTTCCCCGCTCCGCGCGGCCCCCTTTCTCACTTTTTTTTTTTATCGCCACTCGCCGCAGCGCTCGCTCACTTGCTTTGTAACCACTTTATTTTACGCGATCGTAAACGATAAAGCGCTTTTGTCGGCCGGACGTTTACCGGTTTGGCGAATCTCGAGCGCGCGCACGTTCAATCTGAATGCTAACAAGCCGCGAAGTCCGCCGACCTGCGGATTACGGCCGACGCATCGGAAACCACCTTCGTCCATTCGCGATATAAATTACGCTCTCTCGCTCGCGCGCGCGTGCATGATTTCGGAACTAACTTCCGCGCGCTGAATCATTACCGGTCTCGCAGGACGTCGCCGCGAGCTTATTGCGATATTTATGAACTTACAACGTGCGTGCACATTTGCATCCGCCAGCCAGCCAGGCAGCTAGCCAGCCAAAAGTCCGTAAATCTGCGATAAACGAGTTTCGTCGCTAATAACGGTCGGCCAACGTGACAAACAACGCATAAAACTGCAAACGGGAGCGGTGCAAACAACGAGGCGAGTATAAAAAATTCCATCAGCCTCTGTTTCGCGGAGGAGAAAGAAATGAGATACCGAGACATCGGCAAATACCTGCGTTTGCGTCACGAGCAACTTTTGCTTCGTTTCTCTTTCGCTCTCTCTGTCTCTCGTGGTAGAAGTAACCTATAACTGCTTTATCAATTTTATGGAAAGATTGACTCAACTTCACTTACACGAAGCCCTAATTCGTTTTTGTTATCTGCTATTTCTATCTGATATGCTCGGTGGCTCTGCGATTGTATCGCATATCTTTATAAATTACACTTTCTCTTTTACGTATCTCTTATGACATTAACCAGAAAGGTTAATCGCAATCACCTACAATTTCTTCTGCACTTTCCCATTATTTCATTGCTTTATTATGTGTTCACAAGTTGCATTGTTACTTTAATTATCCATAATTAGCATCATCAATCCATCATTAACTTTTCATCGACAAATATTTCTATTTGACTAATTGCATGTGTTATTTACCGCGTTTGAGGAAACAATGTCCCGGAGCGCTTAATAAAAACGCTTCTTTTTTTCTTCTCTCTTCTCTCTATGAAATAATTTTGTTATGACCATTCGTTATCAAAAATATTTTCTTTTGTATATTTTCATTCTCACATTGCGTTTAATAACTGATGCGCTCCCGTCTCTCTTTTCAAATTATGCTATTTTAAATTATTCTTCTAGATTGCATTTCAAAACGTTTTTGAGGAAATTTGACTCGATACTCTATAGTATATGTAACATGAACTATAGGTATTGAGTAAAAATTTCCTCAAAAAGGAGGATTGAAATACAATCCTAATGTTATTTTGTTCTGTTTTGGTAATCCCTTGGCAATTTTTTCTTTTTCTACCTGATCCACATTGCCGTTAAGGCTTCTGGTCCCTCGCGTTGTCTATCTCTTTTTAATGACGTTAGAAGCGAGGAAATGCATGCTAAAAATTCTTGCGAAATATGTTGAAATCAAAATATATATCCATAAAGTATAACACTTGCAATCGATTAAACAAATTTGTAAGATATTCCGTGCACTCCCCTTTTGCTCTAACAATCAATAATTTGTCGTAAATTAACGTAACATACAATTCATCTTCTTAATCTATTTCTTCGCCTGTTTCTATTCAGATTAATTTACAATAAATTATTGATTGTTAGAGCAAAAGAGAAGTGCACGGAATATCTTAGAAATTTGTTTAATCGATTGCAAGTGTCACTTTATGGATATATAATATATTTTTCAATGTATTTCACAAGAATTTTTAGCATGCATTTTTCTCGCTTCTGACGTCACTAAAAAGAGATAAACATTGCGAGAGACCAGGAGTCTTAAAACACTAAGATACTTCATTGTATTATCCTAAAGGGTCAATATACCCAAAGGTATTAATAAACTATCTATCTGCCTATCTCTCTGCACCAATTGAGCGCGCGAAAGTTTCGTTTTACAATAAACACCGGAAAACACAACGCTGGTTATCGCGTCTCCGTAATGCGCACGCTCGTCACCGGAAGGATAGGCGCGTCATTCTCTATTAGGCGAGACCGCGATTCGAACATTACGGCGATGTTCGATGTAATACGTGCGCCGCCTATTATAATGCATACGAGCGTAGGCATAGAGGTAAATGGGGTAGCCGACTGAGTCTTTGGCGCACGGGAAATTGAGTGGCGCCAGTCGAGGGGGCCGTGGAGTAGGAAACACACCAATCCGTACCGAATGGCCGAAAGGTATGACGTCCGACGCGGCGTTACAAGTTCTCCGATTGCCCGACGTGGAATTACGGGCGGGACGCGCGCTCCGAAATTGACACATGGTTATTCTATCGCGCGAGACATGTTATTCGCTCGCGCGAACGCCCGTCTGCATGGTATTTCGCAAGAGCGCTTCCTCCCTTCGATTCTACGCGATGTGCTCGAAACGGAAGCTGCCCGGCTTGGAGTAAGAATCGCGCTACGTGATGTAGGGCTGCGTGTTACTCTCGAAATTTCCTCAAGTGGAATCTCACTGAAAACGAACA